AATTACTATAAATTACTGAAAACCGCTGTGAGAGTAAAAAAAACAAAAACAAATTAGGTGCAAAAACTATTGTTACAACAAAATTAAATAATGTTCAATTTTAATTGCTTAAGAGAGAGATGCATGCTATGCGTACGAGTGAGAGAGAGTTATGAGCGTGTAGAGTGAGAACGACAATACGGAGACTATTTAATATATGAGCGAGAGAGAGAGAGCAAATAAATTTTCAATTTTATCTAGTAACCAGCAAATAGACGAACCAAAAATATCCGGTTCGTTTGGACCAAAATGTTGAGGTTTAGTGGACTGTATCTATTACAAAAAAAAACTGGCTGATGTTTGCCTATTGGCTGGTTTGTAAGATAAAGCTGATTTTGGAGAGAGATGTTATATTTAACGTGTTTATGAGCAAACTTACCAATAGTGTAGAATCGTTCGTTTGCGGGGCCCCTTTTCTTGATTGATATCCATAAAGCACGTTTTCAAACACTTGAGAGCGAGCACCGTATCATCCTTGCTCGACGAAGACTAATTTTCTACTACTACCTGTTCGCTCAACAAACTCTGCGCGCGCAAATTTTTAATACACGCGAAATAACTAACAATTTATTTGCTCCCAATCCCAGGTTAAGAAATATAAACAAATACCCGAGAAACTAAATTAAATAAATTTACCAATATTCAAAAATAAACAAAAAAAACAATATGCGATTACGCAACAGTATATGATACCAATTTAATTGAAAAAACTACAATTTTTTTTAATGTGACGGTCAGGGCAAAAAGTCCCGAAGCTCATGTAATGCCCTTTTTAGTTTTTTTAATTAAACTACGATACTGTGTTCACTTAAACAATTGTAATTATGTGTGAATATGTGTTTTGGTAGTAAGTGACTGTTCGCAAAATATCACCTTACCAAGACTACCTTAGTAGAAGTTTTATTAAAAAAACTGGTATGATAAGTAACACTTTATCACCCTGTATCTTGGAAACATAAGTAATTAGGAAAAATATTTATTTAGGTTTTCGTCTTATTTTGACTTGCTCAATCTTTTCCTAAATTTATGCCAATAAGTTTAGCGACACCTTGTATATATACCTATATATATATATATATATATATATATATATATATATATATATATATATATACATGGTGTTCTGCACACAAATATAACTTAGATATTTGCGGAGAATACAGAACTTTAGAGATCTGTTCAAGAAAATATAGAGCTTGGCGCGAAAGTGGTGGCAAATCATTGCAAGTAGGAATGATACAAATATAATTCCACCACCTGAATTACATTTATTGTTAGGGGTTGTCACACGCTCTACAACCACATCGCACAGTGTCATAAGTCGAAAAAACTGAATTTTGTTGTTTTTAGTGCAATAAGTGTAAAATTACTTTATGCTGCAACAGTGGCATAAAGATATTTTTTAAATTAATACCTAGATGGAGACTTGTGTCTGTGCAATTTGTATAATCCCTATCCTAATTAGGATAATTAATTATCATCAACAGTGTCATAACTAAGTTGCCTGTAAGTTGTGACAGTAATTTTGTTAGCGTAGGTTAGTTAAGTTCTCAACAATAAAATAATGAATAAGTGACGCTCCTCACCTAAAGGAAAACCGTCGTGTGTCTAGGGTATCGTGTAACGCGTTCGTACTTCTATAGTGTAGATATCATCGCTATCGGTGTTCAAATTCATAAAATCTATTAATGATTCTACACGTGTTCTACCACAACCAAGTGCAAAAAAGGGTGCAAATTGCGTGTGGCACCTCCTCATGGATTAAGCCTGTGAAAAAGAGCTGCCGAGGTTAAGGAATAATTTTACAACACCTGCCTGTCAATGCACCTGAAGTCCAAGTCTGCATAAACCGGATAAGTAAACCTATCAAAATTTGATGACCTTAATATATTATAATACCCAAATACTAAATTTTAATGCGAGATTCGCAACTTCAACTTATAAAGAACTCCACCAGGTAAAAATTAATTAGTAGCCAACAATTTCCATAAGAACAGCAAGCATAGCCAAATAACTAATAAATAAGGGCTCAAATAAGCAGTTATTAAACACTCAAGTTCAGATAAACACTAGGCAAAAGAAACTCATCATAAAGAAATAAACATCTGTAGATTACTAAGCACATTTATGGGAACCATAAATTACGTTCTATGCGAAATTATAAACAACCGCACAGTGGGGTACAACGTTATCGATAATCAGCAAGCTCGAAATCCGACTCGGACAGAGACACGGACACATACGAACAGGAAGTACTTCAAGACCAGCAAGGATAGGTCCTAGCAGCGTACTAACCAACCAAGCCTCATTCATGAACCCCAATTGAATCGGGTAATTACTAAATCCCTGGTTGAGGGGACTCCGAATTGTACTTCTCTCTACTTGTCCCTCAAAAACTATAATGGTTTCCCTCCTTGTCTGCACTCCATAGCCTAAATCGGGAGTATGGCCCGGCCCGGCGACGAAATTCCGGGAGTGGCCTTAACCTTCGACACTGTCATCCACGACCTCCTAGGCGAGTTTTACCAGCCGGGGTTCACCAAACACAGGTAATGCAGTGGCGGGATACGTAGGAGAAACTAAAAGGGGGTAAAATATCCCTGGGAAATCAGTTTAAGGCGTTGCCGATGGGGCCAGTCATACGTTCCTAATATTCCTAATCAACAATAAAAGAATGAATACTTTTTTAGCAATACAGACATATCTGCAAAATTCATGCACATATTTTCAGAACACACAGACATATCTACAAATAGCTCTTATCCAAAAGAATTTTTTACTGGTTTAGAATCTTAGTGTGGTTCTTTCTTTGCAAAGAAAATACTGTAAGTTAATATAATTTTACAAATATGTGAGAATTTTATTATTCAAAAATCTTTGACGGTCATTATCTCGGAATTAAGCTTTTACTACTTATGACACTGTTGTCGCCCAAGTGCGACATGCTTAATGAGTTTGAGAAAGATGCTTTTATTTGGGATAAAAAGTGCAATGTAAATCATGGAGGTCCTGCATTCGCAGGAAATGCCTGTAGATCATGTTCCGTGGAATGTCTAAAGTATGTCCGATGCTTTTCAGACTTTAATACTGTTGTAAATTCGTGTTTTTCTGCTGAGTTACGACGACGGTATAAAGAAATTCAGAGAAAGCTATTGTGACGTAGGGATTTCTATTACTCCTAAGGTTCATGCCGTGATTTTTCATGTTCCCGATTTTTCACACCTCAAAGTCCCACCACGTGACCATGTACGGAACGCAGTCTTTGGAAAATTTGGGATTTAAGGCTTTTCAGGTTATGTATCTGTCAAAGTATAGCCAATGAAAGAAATAATATTTGTTTAAGCGTTAAAAGTTCATAAATCTTTATAGTATCACAATAACAATGGTTGGTTTAAGAATTTAGGAATATAAATACTGCATTTAATGAAATTCCAAAGTGTAAGGTGCAATATAAGTGATATTTTTGTGCATTGGGTCTACATTTCTCCATAAAATAGATTAACTAAACAGCATTTATTAAAAAAAATCTAACTTCTCTATTATGAAATAAGAATATCTGTATCAAAGGTAGGTTAATGTATTAGAACAAAAAATATCATCTAATTTTGTATTTTAAGGTTAGAAAAAAAATAATTTTGACCAAAATAAATAAGTGGATTATTTGGAAGAGTGTGTTAATATGGTCATAAATAAATATAGGTATACTAAATAATTGCTGAATATGGTTCAAATTAAATTGAAGATTTTATACTTCTAACGACAAAACTTGTGCATACCTCCCGGCGTACCTACTTTAAATTAGATTATAAGAAAACAAACAATTTTTAGAGAAACTTGCAATGTGAAAATATTTAATACTCCCATGACATGTGATTTATTAAAATTTTTAAAGTTATAATGATTTTTCGATGTAGATCAAATTCAGTCGAAGCTTTTTAACTATTTGTATTGACAAAACTTTATGTAGGTACACTTTAAGCTGGATAAGAAAAACTACCACATTTTTAAATACCATATTATATATCCAAAATACGTATTTATTTTGGTCAAAATAAATTTTTCTAACCTTAAAATTACAAATTCGATGATATTTTTGTTATAATATATTAACCTACCTTTAATACAGATATTCTTATTCCATAATAGAGAAGCTAGATTTTAATAAATGCTGTTTAGTTAAAATTATTTTATGAAGAAAACCAGATATTTGGACCAAATGCACAAAAATATTACTTATTTGGCACCATACACTTTAGAATTTCATTAAATGCAGTATTTATATTCTTAAATTCTTAAACCATCTATTGTTATTGTAATGTTATAAAGATTTATACATTTTTAACGCCTAAACATAATATTATTTCTTTCGTTGACTATACTTTGACAGATACATAACCTGAAAAGCCTTAAATGCCAAATTTTCAAAAGACTGCGTTCCGTACGTGGTCACGTGGTGGGACTTTGAGGTGTGGAGCATAGTACATGGTGACTTTAAGAAAATTTGGAAAAATTTCAAGATTTCTAAGTAGTGTAATTAATATGAAGTTTTGTTATTTGTTAAGTTTTAATTTTTTTCAGGTTTTTTGAAGTGGCATAGTTTTTTTTACAGATAATGCAACAATTATATTGATTAAAGGCCTTCTTCATATATTCATCACTTTAAAACTGATGTTTAATTTATAATATTTATATATTTATTTTGTTGGTGTTAAATTTATTAAAAATATATTCATCCAGAATCTACAATCTTTGTACAGAAACACCCACATAAACTTACAAAAGCTAAAAACAAAATATCGCTAGTGATTGTTGGTTATTTTCACTCTTAAAAATGGGTTTTCTCATTAACGATTTGGGGGAATCAAAAGTAAACATTTTTGGAAATATGCAAGTATTTTGTAAAATTCTTAAGGAAAGTCATTGCATGCAATATATTTAAACTATAGTTAATCAATTCTTACCTTTAGTATTAGTATTTTATTATTATGAATTAGATTTACGCATTGGTCATCACTATCCTTTAATTGGAGGGTTAATTTTTCAATTTCCATTTTATGGATGAATGAAAGTTCTTGTGATTCTTTTAACATTAATTTTAACTCATCATTTTGCTTTTTTACATCCTTTAGTTGTAAATCAACAACTGAATGAGCAAGATCTTCTTCCGTAGTTAGTGGATATTTATTTGTAAGGTAAAATTCGTCTAGATGGCTGTCATTTGGGGTTTTAGTTTCTTCAAGAAAAGCCTCAAGTTCTGTGCAATGTTGCTGCAGGTTTTTGTATAATATCTCTTGTGTTTTCGCCTGTTCACTCAATGTTTGCAAGTTATTTTCTGTTAAAAAAAATCTTTCTTGCCATATGGATACCTCTTGTTCTAGTTTTCTTATCTGAAAGTAAAAGTTATATATATATATATTTTCTATATACAAGCAGAAAGAATGTATACATTCTTTCTGCTTGTATATAGAAAATGTGGTAACATTAACTTTAATTAACTATAGTCATTTTGGTTTGAAATATATCTAGTATTTTTGTGCGACTATTGGGAGGAGATTTCTCGAGCGTTAAGTTTGCCGCATAAGCGTAGCGAGTGCGGTAATATACAAGTGGAATCTTTTCTTTTGACCAATAGTTATACATACAATATTTTATTCAACTGCCGAAAGGAATTTAAAGAGAATTTGATTTGATATTAATTATAATTAATGTCAGTTATTAATTAATTTTGATAATTGAGTGCCTTAACAGTTACATACATAAATTTAAGATTTTAAAATCAGTTTGGTAATTTCAGAGAAAAAAATAAACTAGAAAAATTAATAGTTAAATATTAAAATTAAACAAGGAACTTATTAGGTAAGGTCTAACAATTTTCTTAACAAATTTTTCTTATTTTCAATGGAAGCATCTGCATATTTTCATTCGTTGCGGAATCAGGGCCGTAGCCAGTGTATCTGCTTCTTTATAGCCAGGGAATCATAAGATTGATGCTAATACGAATATATATTTATATAAGGCATGCCATATCGGCAACTTTTGAACCCAATCCCTTTTGATTTGACTAAAAACGTTTTTCAAGTACAGTGGTGGACACGGAACATCATCATCGTCCTTGTGTGATTTTCAAAATAGCAAAGATACAATAATGATCACTTTTGCTTTTACTGTCAAAAGGACAAGAATAGTAACCTAGACCTGGTTTAGGAATAGTAATACCCGGAAGTTAGGTTAGTTGTCTATAAAGGCAGTTTAGATTTTGATGTCGACGGCACTAAACCCCCCGCCCACCCAACCTATCCCTTGTCTATGGTCAACGGAATGATAAGTCGTTTGAAATTCCGTGTCGGTAAAATTTCCGTACTCGGGCTTTTGCGAAAAGGCGGAAAAAAAATTATGAAAATGGCTCTAAATGGCCCACTTTTAAAAAACTTTGGGAAAAAATCGGGGAAAGGTATTTTTAACAATTTTATTTTAATAATAAAAAATATAACGAACGAAACTTACATTTATACACAGTGCACTGTCAAATACATTATTAGGTTATAAAGTGTCCACTGACACGCACAGATCCCACATATTTAGATATGTGACAGATCCTATAGGTGCTATCACGTAAGAAGACTTAAGGTAAGAAACTATTGGATTGGATATTTTTGCGAAAATTCATGGGTAATTCCATTTTTTAGCCACCAATGAGTGCACCTCATATACTCTAATTTTATTTATTTTTTAACTGTAAATAGACATGGACCCTAGAAGTGAAAAAAACTCCACTTTTCTTTTCTCCCCCTATAGGGGGATATATCACCTATTTATACAGGGCTACGCAAAAGTTACTATGCAGACCTAACTTAAAAAAATTGTACTTTTTTTGCTAATAAAGCTATCGACATTAAACAAACTGTTAATTGTTAAGAAAATATTTCTCTTTTAAATTTAGTTATTAATGCCCTAAATGGTCTTTGGGAATTTTTTTAAAAATGCAATTTTTTGGCAAAATTGTCTAATTTTATAAATTCATATATTCTTAGAACAACTTGCCAGCAAAAATTTTTTAATGTAGTTTGTTACCATAGATCTTACTCTATATAAAAGCAATGAAAACATTTTCAAATAATATTGGCTAAGAGTTCAAAAAAATATAATAAAAATTCATGTTTTCAAAAAATCACTATTATCAACCATTTCATGGTTTAAAAAGGCTATGTTTGAGTGAGTCGATTTAAACCAATTTATGCTTATCATCACATGCACTTATTAGCCTCCAATAACCATTAATAAAATTATTGTGTATTTTGCTTTTAACTGGGCTGTGGCTGTATGTACAGCCCAGCTATAAGCAAAATACACAATATGCCCACCTGACTTTCAGCCATTTCATGGTTTAAAAAGGCTATGTTTGAGTGAGTCGATTTAAACCAATTTATGCTTATCATCACAGGCACTTATTGGTCTCCAATAATTATGAATAAAATTATTATGTATTTTTCTTTTAGCTGGGCTGTGGATGTATATGTCTACCTGTCACTATATCCATATTATTAACCATATATTTTGAAAAAGCGTATTACATCTTTAAAATAACTTGACAGACTTGAATTGACTTCTAATTCATTCTAAATAAAACCATAAAATATAAAAACCACATACAGTGGCGTCGAAAATTAACCACCCATTTAATTAGTTTTTAAATTAAAAAAACATAATTAAATGTACAAAAAATTAATTAAATGACTAAAAGACATACTTTTCTTAAACTTTATATTTAGACAAAATAAATCAGGTATTAAATCCTAAATTTGAATTAAACCTAACTGCATATAATTAAACTGAAGAAATCATATTCTTAACTTTTACAATCACCTAAAAAACCTATTTGGGTCAGAATTTCTCAAACGGGCCACCTGAATTAGGTCAAAATTAGTTTTTGTTTGTAAATACATTTTTTTGATAGTATTTTACATCACTAACACAAATCCTAAAGGATTTTGTAAGTATATTGACATTAAGTGTACTTCAAAGGTAAATAAAATAAAAATTGAAAATTATATTATTTTTAGTTTTTGGCGCTAACACAGCAAACGGAAAATTATAGAAGTGTATAGGATGACTCCGCGTTTGAATATCAAATCTTAAAGTTTTATCATAACTGTATTGAATCGTGCTTTGTTTTTATATTTTTCGGCTCTATACCTATGCACGACTATATTTAAAGTCAAACTGAATGGTTTCTTACAAGATACATTATTTTGATTTTCTATATTCAACAGAGAGGTAGAAACTCGACCATGTCGAATGGTTCAGTCATTTATGTCTCTAGAAATTATTAAAAAAGGGTTCAGTCCAATGGTGCAGCAACTTCGGATTCCTATTCTCTTCAGAGACATAGAAACTCAAGCTTTTCGAATTTTACTGGCAATGATTTTCGTTAATGTCCCCGAGAATTATACAAAAACAGCGCAATGCAATATCGCAACGGTTTCGACTTCTCTTTACTCTACCAAGTTATAGAAACTGGAGTCTCTCTAAATTAGTAATACTGTTCTAGTCAATATTTCTGAGAGTATAAAAAGAGGGTGTAATATTGCAAGAAGTTTTGATCTTTTGATGGATGCAAGTAGTTTGAATTTTCTCCTTTCTGCATATGATTTTGTTGAAAATAGTTCCTTTCTTTGGTTCCTTTGTCTGATTTTTATTTACCGTAACAACTCAGGTATGTAAAGCACAGATGATATGATGTTAAGTATATTTATGTATTATATAAAGTACCTATATTTGTATTAAAAATTTCAGAGGTTATGTTGAAAAGATGATCGATATGCTATTAAACTTTAATAATTTAGTAATTAGGTCTGTTGGTAGACCCTGCACTATCTCCACTGGTATAGGTTAGTTTTGTAATATTTAAATCTGGTTGATGAAAAAGTACACACCAGTGCAGGATATTGTAGCATCTACTAACAAATGAATTAATGGCCCATTGGCAATTATTCCTTTAGGAAAAATATTCAACACAGCTAAATTAATTAATAAAATGAAAAAAATCACAATCATGTCGTATACCTATAGTTTTTTTTAAGCATAAAATAATTTTTATATTAATACTAGTTCAAAAGTGAAATTACGACCTCTATACTGTGGAGAGTCGACTGACGAATACAACTCTATACCGTAGGGAGATTTAGAAAACGCTCAGGCACTGACCAAGCTCGCCTAAAATTATTATAAAACTTTACTAATAACTTGCCTTTTAAAATGAGTGTTTTTATATAAAACTAAATATATTAGCAAGGTTTTATAAGTATACACTTTCTAACCTAATAATGTATTTGACAGTGCACTGTGTATAAAATTTATAAAAGTTTCGTTCGTTATATTTTTTATTAATAAAATAAAATTGTTAAAAACACCTTTCCCCCGATTTTCCCCCAAAGATTTTTAAAAGTAAGCATTTAGGGCCATTTCCATATTTTTTTTCCTGCGTTTTCGCAAAAGCCCGAGTACGGAAATTTTACTTCCGTGTTTCCCATTGTACATTTAATATTATAATTTTTAAATTATAAATTATATAAAAAGACTTCATATTAATACTATTTCAAAAGTCAAATTATTATTAAACTGAACCTAACCTAAAAATTATGTGACAGAATCTTAAGAATTTTTTTAATAAAATGCTTGATAAAAAATAGCATATAAACCCCGGGCTATCTCCTCGGCAGTAAAATGTATGCTTGGCGATAATTTGTGCTTTAATTTCAATAACATTTTTCAGTTTTTCGAAAAAACATTAAATTTTTACTACATTACATTACTACATTTTTTTAACTTTAATTTATTCTTCTTTATCAAAACCCATGGTGGGACAACTTTTGAGAAAAAAAGTGGTACACTCACCATTTCTTTTGCTGCTTCCTTTTCTTTCCTAAGAACTTTTTGCTCTTCATCACTCTGGCTTATATATTGTTCCAAACTTAAAATTTCACTTTTTAATTGCTTTTGGATTTCTACAAAATCATTATCCTGACAATATGATGGAGTTTTTGTTTCTAAAGTAAGAACTTCCATTTTAAGCCTAGAAATTTCCGACAGTTTTTGCTGTAGTTGCTTTTCTAAAAATTAAGGAATACTAAATTAAATTCCGACCGAACACAGCGAAGATATTTTTTTGAAAACGTAAGTACATAAATTTGATCATGGATTTAATCGAATTGAACATATCCTCTTTTATAGAAAAAATAACTTGTCAAGATTTTTTTATAGCTACCTTTAAAGTTGCCTTGCAACGTAAAACACAAATAACGTGCGCGATTTAGCTGTGCAATTGAACAAAATTTGTCAAGAAAGAATTCTGCCTTCCTCTCTTTTGTGAAAAATTACCTATTTATTTAAAAATGATGTATAATATGTGCTTTAAATGAATTGTTGACAATTCTTAAATTCACGCAATGCTATCGAAGTTCACCAGATGGCGCGCGCGTTGCGAAAACCCGATACTTCTTTAGCGTATACTACGCGTTATTTTACGACATTGTGATTAAATATATAAAACGATAATATTTTCCAATATATAGTTATATTATATGTATTTCAGAAAATTAGCACTAAAAGTAAGTAATTTCATCTTAAAATCATAGGATTGGTAAATGTACGTTGTCTTATGATTTTGAGATAAAATCATTTACTTTTAGTGCAAATTTTCTGAAACCCATAATATTTTCCATTAGTATTAATAATTTTCATAATACAACAATAATTAATATTAAGTATTAATATGGTATAAAGACAGAAAATTAAATCAGAATAGATGAAGGTGAGTCAAATGATTTCTACTGTTACGTTCATTTAAAAATCTTCTGGAGTAAAACTCTTTTGCAGTATTACTAGCAAAATCATCATAAAAAATTCATGTAAAGTTGGTTAGCTGGTATAAAAGTTTTAAAATCTATAGTTCAATAATAAGAACCATTATCCAGCGTACGAGCCCTAGCAACTATATGTTGAAACAACTATTTATTTTGCAAATAAAATGCTAGTTTATTAATTTTTTTTTAATTGAAAAATTAGCATTGGCAACATTTTATATGTTATTTCATAACATTTTTGCGGTAAAATTCCTAATATTTTTTTATTAAAATTTATTTAACTGTTTCATGTTCAAAAATCGCTGGCAACTAATTGTTGGAACACTATTCTCTTTTCTCTATAGTTTCTTAACTTTTATCTCAATTGCTTTGAAACAAAATATGGTTGCTATGACAACGAAGCTTTTATCAATTCAACAATTGATTGCAGATTAAATACAAACTATGTTTTAACTGTGATTTATCATCCCCCGAACAAAAAAGATAGCACTTTCATAAAAAAATTTGAACAGTACTTACAGGAATTGAATGAAATGGGGATCAATCAATTAATAGTGGGAGACTTCAATCATGATCTGCTAAAAAGTACTTTTTATGGCGATAAAATCAAAAACTTATATAAAAATGGTTATAAACAGATAGTGACTGAGGCGACAAGAATAACCTCAAACAGTTCAACACTAATTTATTATGTTGTAACAAATATACACTCAAAACAAAGTACACAGATCACAAAAAATTGGTGACCAATCAAGAATATCCATATATTTAAACATTTTTTTCGGCAAAAATCTGAAGAATACAGGGGGCTGTAATGATGGAATATCAACAAGAATAATTAAATGTGCTTTTGAAGTAATTGGAAATTGGTTTTTGGATGTGATTAATAGTTCAATGTCAACAGGGGTTTTCCCAGAAAATTGGGGAACATTAATTATAGTACCCGTACCAAAGATCTCCAAAACTATATGTTGTGAAGAGTTTAGACCCATTAATGTAGTACCTGTTTATGAAAAAATCCTGGAAGTGTGTGTAAAAAATCAACTAGTAAATTTCTGTGATATGAATAAGGTGATTGTTCCTAACCAGTCTGGTTTTCGCACGGGCCATTCGTGTGAAACGGTAATAACTCAAATTTGTGATAAGTGGATTACCAGTATGGACAACAATAAGATAATCTTAGCTGTATTTTTGGATTTTAAGCGCGCTTTTGAGACGATTGATCGAGATTTACTGTTAAAAAAGTTGGAAAAGATTGGGATAAGGGGAATAGTGCCTAAGTGGTTCAAGAGTTACCTGAGCAATAGGTATCAAAAAGTAAAGTTTAATGGTGTGACATCGGAAAAAATCTGTGATATGATAACCAAAATAAATTGTGATTTAAGTAATATCTACACTTGGCCCTGTGATAATAAACTTGGTAATAATATAGCAAAAACTAAAAGTATTGTATTTGGAAGTAAAAGCAATGTAAGTAAAATTGGTACCTAACCAAACTTTGTTACCTGTCCATATTAATAATGTAAAAATTGATTTGGTAACCAAACTTTGTTACCTGTCCATATTAATAATGTAAAAATTGATTTGGTAAAAGATATTAAGTACTTGGGAGTTAAACTTGATGAAAATCTAAATTTTCACACACATGCACTTTATATTATGAATAAGATGTCAAAAAAATCATTATTTTTCAAACGTGTTAGTAAAAATCTCTCCCTGTCAACAAAACTTCTTATATATAAATCGACAATTGCCCCACACATTGACTTTTATTCAACAATTCTCTTTAACTTACCTGCATATAGAATTGGGGAAATCCAGTGCATACAAAACCGATGTATGAAAACAGTATTGTATTGTTATAGATATACTCCAATTAAAACTATGTTAAATGTACTAAATTTGTTACCAGTTTGTGATAGAATATTGTTTAATAATTTAATGTTTATATATAAAATTAAAATAGTTATTTGTTTTACAAGTGTTGAAAAGCGACTTTTTCATGCGAGTTTTTAAGTTGCCCACGAGGCCGTTAGGCCGAGTGTGCATTAACACGAGCTTGAAGAAAGCTTTTCTCACAAGTATAACACAATGTTTTTTCTGCGACCCTTTTATTTTTTATTATTTTTAAATACAAAACAAAATAACCTAAAAACTTTTTTGACAGCTGAATGTCAAACAATGCTTTCCGGTTCTTTTCACACAGACCTGTCACTTTTCACACAGAAATGTCACTTTACATTCGTGTTTTGCCTTGCCAATGAAAAGATTCATTTTCTAAGCAACAATGCCATCATGAAAAGTGACTTTTACATAGTGGTCTTAGAAAAACAATATTCTACCTCAGTATTTGTGCCAAAATCTGTCATTGGTTTCTGACAGAAACAGTTACACACTTAGAAGTAGTAATAATTTCAATATAGGTATTTGTAGAACAACTCAGATGAAAAACACTGTATTTTATAAAGGATTGGTACAATTTAATTTACTACCAGCTAAAATAAAAGAAAGCTTTAATATTAAACATTTTAAGACAAATTTACTTGAGCACTTCCGTAGAATCCGTGATATAGATATATATAAATCATTTATATTTTTATTGTTATACTGTACATATCTTGTGGACATGTTATATTTATATTGTTATGTTATTTTTTGTATGAGATAGCTTTCTTGCTAAATAAAGATTATTATTATTATTATTAATAATTTAAATACTGTCAATTTCAATTTTTGCTCAATTAAATAGCAATAATGACACGCGAGAAGCCTACCGAAAAGTACGCGAAATTATTATCAGTTAGTACCATAAAGGCAAAATAATGCGTGAAATTTCTACTGAGAGCAACGACTACTTTGTTTAATATCCTTAAAAAATATAGTGAAACCGGGAATATTAATATTTGTGGTAAAAGTTCAGGTCGTCCCAAAATTGTTTCTCAAAGAAGCGCAAGTCAGGAAGAAGAAACACGCTGCAGGAAGTGACTGCAAGGTGGAATAGAGAGTCTGGAATGAACGTTTCCCGAGAATGCTGGCGTAAATATATCCACCAAGGTGGCCTTAGCTTTTATAAAGTATAGTTTATATTTATTTATCGTGCAAATTTTATTTATATAAATTTACAGGTTAAAGAAAAACCATTATTGACGGAAGTTCAAAAAAAAATCGTTACAATTGGGCTAAATCTAAGCTGTCGTGGTCTAAAAATGACTGAAGTAAAGTCATTTACAGAGACGAAAGTAAATTTGATGTTTGTGTGGGAGACTACCGAAAACGCATCATTCGAGACAAGACAGAAGCCTTCCATGAGGATTGTTTCAAAAGAACAGTAAAGTTTGCACAAGGCATTATGGTGTGGGGATGTATGTCGGCGAAAGGATTGGGCACATTACACTTTACTGAAGGGACTGTTAACGCACCTAAATATCAGGACATTCTAACCAGCTCACCAGCTAACCAAGTGCTGCAAACTTATATCCCAATGGGGATTTTATATTTCATCAAGACGATGCCTCATGCCATACTGCAAAATTTACAAAAAAATGGTTTGGGGAAAATAATATTAAGGTTTTGTCACATCCTTCCAGCAGCCCGGATCTTAATCCGATAGACACTGTGGCACAATATGAAGCAACATCTGAGAAATAGTCCACAACGAACCATAGCACAATTGCGTACCAAATTACAAGAAATTTGGGATAATTTTACACCTAAACTCTGTGGAAGCCTTGTGAATACGATGCCTGATAGAGTTCGGGCAAAAGGCGACGTTACGCCTTATTAATATCTGATTTTTTTACTTCAAAACGTTTTGTTCCAACATTAAGTTGTCAGCATTTATTGAACATGAATCACTTAAATAAATTTCAATCATATAATAATGAGAATTTTCTCCCAAAGCTATTATAAAATGACATCTAAAATGTTGCTAATTCAAATTCTACAATATAAAAACATTAAAATCAAATTGATTCAGTAAACTAGCGTTTTATTTGTAAACTAGTTGTTTGTTCTAACGTTTGTAGAACGTTTTTAACTTCGTGCTGACTAAGACTTATCTGGTACAGTTACAATGTATTTTCCCTATGGTTAGCTTGCAAATGAAGGTACGGTATAGTGGTTAGGGTTCGTGGAATAAGGGTCGTCGCGACACGTTGCACAGTGGGCTGGAGAGCCAATTTAACGCGCAGTAATTATTTGTTTAAGTAATTCTTAGTTAATGTTTATTATTTTGGTATAAGTGATAA